AGCGTGATGCGGTCAATCCACTACGACGAGCAAGGTCATAAATATTAAGAAATAGTTTGAATTTAAAGTAATACCAGGTGGAGGCCATGAAAGCCATGGAAACCCATTTCTTGGATCAGCAACTGTATCCGTTAGGACTCTTGAATCATGTGTTACCCCTTCCCAGCCTGCCCAAACGAACGTAAAAATCATATTAAAGTCGCATATTCCTAAAATATTTTGATAACATTCTCCCTTTCCTCTACCCCTATACATAGTCTGTTGTGAAATTGGAATAATGGCAGGTATTAATGTTCCATCAAGTGCACCAACTGCTCCCTACATTTAAATAAAATTAAAAAATTATGCAAACATTAGAAAACTTACAAATCTAAAGCAATAAAATAATGACAAAAAAAAATATACAATGCACAAAAATACCTTAAAAATGCGGTTTAATCTCCTAAAACTTGCTGAAATGTTTGGATTTGGGTCAAATGTTGTGGGTACTATTACCTCCCTTGCCATATTCATCATTGCACGTAACACTTCGTGAAAACACGCATGAACTGTTTGTGAAGAGTGTTGAAATCTACGCTTCACCACACGAAGACGCTTACTATGCCCAATAATCTGCAAGAACATTGCCATTTTTTCTTCTACAGATATATGTTTACTATCATGTAGCCACCCTCTTTGTCTAAAATGCATACTCAAGCGAATATACGCAATACGAGACATGCGCATTAAATCCATACATTGTGTGTCTGACCCAGACAATAGCTCTAACGTGTAAGCATGACCGGACAATGCTGAGTTGTTATCTATATTTCTTGGTACACGCATTAAATGTCTCGGTCGAATTTGTGTGTACCAATAGATCATCATCAATATCATAATCTCATAAATTTCCATATTTAACCTGTTAACATAAATGAATAATACATTAAATATTTGAGAATCAATATTTCTTAAACACATAATTAAATCATAAAGAGAATTCAACTCACAAGACAAATATAAAACAAAGTCTATCATTATTAAATATCAAAAAAATGCAAAGTTCATAACTATTGTACGGAAATTAAAACAAATTCATTAAAAATAAATACTACTGAAGTCTTCAAATTAATCTACATAAGTCCTTGCAAGTTAAAATTCAAATCCCATGTTTTCTCCAATTCTTTTAATCCATGCTTTCAGAACACCCACATTATCCTTAGGAAACACCATCCAAGCTTCTCTATGTCCCGCACAACTACCAAATATCACAACAGCAGAGACATAAAAGATGTCTTCTTTATCCCATCCTAGTTCATCCAATTTAGCAATGCAATCTGTAACTGACGGTCCACTATTATTTTTTATCATAAACTTCAAAGCAGCTGACATCTCTTCTACTAAATTATTATCACTAGATGAAGGTTGGATCTTTTTCTTTTTCTTTTTAGGTTTTTCTCCTCGTGACTGATGGTTGGAATCATTACTCTGAGTGTCTGTGGTAGGGACAAAATTTTCATCTTCATCACCAAACAAAATATCTTCTATGTCATGTTGTTCTGCATTTCGAACAGTTGAAGAAAATGAGCTAGTACCAGGATTTGGATCTTGGGAACTAGGTCCCCAAGAATGAATCCCTGTAGCAGTGGTTCCATCAAATAGTGCTCTACAAAGGTCAGGATACGGTAAGGGGGCAAGTCTTAAACTCCTTGCCTTAGGATGAGCCTGTATTTAGATATGAAATAAGAATTCTTAATATAGTGGAATAGTTAATGAAAATTACTGAGATAACATAGTGAAGAACTTAAACACTAGACCTTTATATACTCTGTCCACTCATCCTTTGTCATGTTGATGGTATTGGTCGCATGATTGTAAATATTGCCTGTTTTCATAGTTAACGGTAACCAAGCTTGATACTTTTGTTTTAAGTAGTCGTATCTATTCTTCATTTGTCTTTGAGAAACCACAAAATTATAATTTTTCTTGAGAGTATCCATAATCTTGGTCCAAGATTCAGCCTTAAGGCTTCCTCCTTCCCTGCCATTTAGTGCAACTTCTTGGATACACGCTTCGAGAAAACATTTATCTACTTCAGTATTGTTCCATCTGACTCTATTATTTTCCTCTGATTCTTCCATCCCTATACTCATGGATATTTATGCGCAAAAGGAAAATTTAAACCAATATACAGTATCACTGATATTACTACAAACAACCGACAAACAAGAAAAATGCGAATAGACAAACTATCGACAAACAAGAAAATTTAAACCAATAGACAATATTCACTCTTGAATTATAAGAGTTCAATTTTTTTACCATCCTAATTAAATAAAAAATAGTTGAATAACTTTAATCTGAAGTACATAGAATTCAATAGGAAATCAACTCTTTCAAGAAAACACACAGTTGAAGTTTTTGTGAAAAATTCGATCACTCTCATAATTGTCACCAACTCTTTCTCTAAAACATGGGCTTGTTTTGAAATATGGAAACATGAAATACGTAAAATATAAAAGTAATTATTGAGAACTTATTGGTGTCAGAGAATTCACTGGATGACGGCCAATTTCTGTTACGCCTCACAATTGCGAATTATTCTCTTTTTCATGCGTGTATTCTGAATATTCCTACTTGCCGATAATCCTTTATTTTGTGGTTTTCCTATCAAGTAAATTAATTTAGTTCGATTCATTTTCTGGTGCAGCATACAAAAGGATCCTAGAGACAGATCTTCGTCTTTGGAACTACTGGTTAGTTTAGTTCAACATAACTTGTCCTTTACACAAGCTTTCATTAATCTTTTAATTAACAACTATAGTGTAATTCGCAGAGCCACCCATTTATCAAGAAGTTTGAAGATAAAGACATTGATCTCAGCATTATAAATATGTTTTAAGATTATTAATAGAAGATAAATAATCTATGTAGTCCATGTACTATGGATTTAAAAACATAATTAACATATATAAAAATTCAAGAACATAAAGGTTTATTCAGATGAAAATTGATGAAGAAGAAAGATCTAACCTACCGGCCTGAAAATTTTTCGTTCGATAGTTTTTGTCGTGCTTCACTGTCGTCGCCCCCAGCAGATTGTTGATGGAGATGGAGAGAAAAAATATCGCGTTATGAGGTAGGGTAAATATTTAAATATTTATTTAAGAATAAAAGAGTCCAATATACGTTCAGATACTCCTCTTACCGAATAAGCGGCAAATTTTCGGTTGAATGGTTAAGAGATTAGTGGACCGATTAAGAGATGGTTACCAAATGGACTTAACGGCAAATCTACTGACCGAATCAGCATAGGACTCATTAAGAGGTCCATTAAGTGCAATCAAACGGGCCCTTAATGGGTCTCTGAAGATAAAATAAATAAAAAAGAAAAAAAGAAGAAGAAAAAGAAAAAATTATACTTAGTGCGGCACTTAGTGGCGATAGATGGAAAGCAATAGAAAAAAACTTCTCTTCCCTAATTACTTGGCGGCAGAGAGGAGCAGGAGCAGTTTGCTTGCAATCGGCAGAGAGGAAGCGACGGAGAAGAAATACTTGGTGGCAGAGAGGAAGCGGTAGAGAAAAACAAGGATTAGTTTCCCTAATTTCAGGTAATTAATTTTTTTCTCCTCATCTCCCTCGCCCATTGTATGCTAGAAAATTGTATCGAATATATTCGTTTTTGTAATTAATAGGTTCTATGATTTCATATATATGTTGAAATTCCTGTAGGGGTGATTTGATTTGAAATTTGATAAGTCTCTGAAATTGCATGCTATGAATGTATTTGCAGTTAAATGCTATTTGATATTACATTCAGTTATGTAGAAATTGGATTTTTATTGTAGAAATTTCTATTGGAGTTATTTTTTTTATGATGATAAATAGGTAATGGATGTCTACAAGAATAGTTTAAATTATAGTATGTGAGTTTATATAGCTTGATTATTGTGCAAATATTCTCTTGCAATAAGTTCATTATCTCTGCTGCAAACTTGGTTCTATATTATATTTCGACAAAGAAATCTTTATGTTTGAAAAAGTAAATTATTAATTTTGGAGTATGTATTAAGGCATGGACTACATTTAGGGCTAAAAAAAGGTGACAAAAGGCTCAAGGATGCGTGGACTATGTGGTATGTGGTTATCAGGCAAATCATTGAATTGGACTGTACAATTTTTAAAGAGGTAGTATTTTACTGTGACTGGGTGAGGGTAGAGAACAAAACAAATGGTTGTAAGCATTGTCCAGCCAAGTTTTTTATTCAAAATATCTTACAAATCCTGATTGGTGGGTTGTTCTGCATTCACCAAAGAGATTAACTAGTCGAGTAGACGAGTTAGAAAGTCCATCGGATTTTCAATCTACTTTTGAAGACCAACCTCATTTAGAAGAATTGTTGAAGCAACATGGCAGTATATAGATTTTTTTTTCTTTTTTTAATATTTGATCATATTTTATTTCTTGATTTTTTTCAAGATTTTGTTATGTTGGTTATGAAAACTTGAAGATTTATGATACTAATTAAGCATTTGTTGTTACATTGCACTAGTAGTTCATATTTTTCGCTTATTACCTAAATTTCCTCATGTCTTTGTAGATTGAATGTTTTTAGCTAATTTTGTGTGTTACTTTAAATGTCAGGCATTAAGCACTATGTCAACTAGTACAGGTTATCATTTATAATTTTTTATATATGAGTTCTAATTTAAATTTATCTTCAATTTCCTGATAATTTGAATGGGTTGCATTAATAGTTTGTTGACTTGTACAGATAATCCATCGAATGCAGATAATTCAGAACAAAATTGTCCTAGTCTATCTTCTTTAGCCCCACCCACGTCCGGGTCAGCAAAGACTAAAATCCCAAAAGGTAAGAAGAAGATTACAATTGAATATGATGGGGGAGTAGTAGGTGAATACTCGAAACAATGGAGTTCCCGGTGATTTTGTGAGAGCTCACATTCCAATTAGCTACAAGGATTTTAGAGATGTGCCAAATAATTTCAGTGATGACGTTTGGAATGCATTGATGGTAAGCTGTAATTTATATGTTAATTTATAAGCGAATGTTGGAATGTCTTTTCCGTGTTTTTAGTATATATAAATATTTCACATCAGTTAACTTGAAAATTTTGTAACTACATACATAAGTGTATTAAATTAGTTACTTTTTACGTGAAATGGGTGTTAAACTTAAAACATGTATTATAATATTTTGTATATAATGTGGTTATTTTTCCTGTTGTTTGTAGGGTGAATTTGAGCTCGATGTTCCACCACATGTTGCTCGACCTTTAGCAGAGAAGACATGGTCTCAAAAGTTTAGGACACACAAAAATTCAATGAGGGTAATATTAAAGAAACATGGTCATAGTCAAGCCAAGCCAAAAGGTATTGACCCAATTATTTGGAGAAAGTTTGTGGAAAATGAAATGGATCCAAGAAAGGTGGACCAAATCGAAAAAAATAAGAATAATCGAGTTAACTCGCAGTTTTCTCATTGCCTTGGTCGCCGCACCTATGCTCAAAAGGAATATTTAATGGTTTGTATCGTTTATTTGTTTTTAACTTTCATGCTTATATTTTTGGCTAATTAATAATATCATTGTTTAGCTACAAGAAAATCCTTCAAGATCGATTACTCGAGCTGAGAAATGGCTGGCAGCACATGAGCATATTGATGGAACTGTTTTGGAGAGTGCTAAGAATAAATATGTGAGTAACTTATTTTAATTGTTTAACATGTTATTTACATTGAACTTGTTTAACATGTTCTGAAAAATCGTCTTGTTTAAATATAACAGGAGCAAGTAAAAGCTGCTGGAAATAAAAGAAAAGGCCAAAGCTCGAATGGAGAGGAAGTTACAACGACTTAACTTATGATGACATTGATACATATGAGATAGCAGAAGTATTTGGAAAAGAGAGAAAGGCAGGAGTACGTGCAGTAGGTTCATGCATCTCAAAGAAACAATTAATTCATCTTGGGATAGCAAAGTCAAAGATTATGCAGAATGAGAAAGCTCTTAAACATGCTCGTGATGAGAAGGATGAGATTATGTCAAGAATTGACGGTCTTGAAGGTTTACTACGTTCTATACATTCAAAGATTGATAAAACAAGTTATACAGCTCATGCATCTTCAAGTGAGCTTGGATCCAATTCAACTCAACATTTGAACATCCCTACTGTATCACATGCCCCTCCCTCCAATGCCAATACTCAGAATCCTCGAGTTTACTTGTGTGATAAGTTTGGAAGAAAAATAGGTCGGGGCTATATTGTGACGGATGATACCTCCGGAATGTGTCACTTCAAAATTGTTGGACCCCAAGAAAAGAAAGTTTATATTGAAGAAGTAATTGATCCCAATGCTCGTGTGTGGGACCCTCCTCAAGGGGGTTATGATACGCTGGCAGGCTTCGTCCAAGGGGGATATGTAATTTGGTTTGAGAGCTGGTTAGTGAATATTGATGATTCATTTTGATTTAGTTTTACATGGATTGATTAGATGATAAACTTAGAATGCTAGAGAATTTATTTTAATAGTTGATGGTACATCTGATTTTGTTTTGTTTTTTGATAACTTGAGTTGAACACTTTATGTGACTGTATATTATGATGAATGGTTATTTTGATGGATGTTACATTAGTATTTTTTTGTCAGTTCAGATTTATTTATCTATTTATGAATATTTGTGATGTTCATTTCAGGAAATACTATTACTTTGATTCATTTAATACAGGTTCAATGGAAACATGTGGGTCATTTTTGTTTTCTAGATCGTTTTTAATAATGATGTGGATGTTTTAATAATTTTAATTGTCAAAAAATTCAATTAACAAAAAAAAATTAAAAAGATAATTTATTTCTAACAAACATAAGCGTTAGCATTATTAAAAAAGTGTTACAACTTAATACGTTACATTTGATGTTGTAACACACATAACCGTTAGTATTAATTACATTTTTAACGGTGTAATTTTTTTCTAACGAATCTAACCGTTAGTAATGGTATATTTTTTCTAACGATTGATGTTTTTTTTCTAACGGAAAATTGTGTTACAATAAATAACATAAGTGTTACAACAAATATCGTTACAATATATCTTCTAACGGATATAACCGTTACAATTAATTATTTTACTAACGGTTTGGATTATTTATTCTAACGGATATCATCCGTTAGCAATTTCTAGCTCTGAATTTCTAACATGCGTTTTCTAACGGAATTTCGCCGTTAGGAAAATTAATTCTAACGAATATAGTTGTTAGAAAAAGCCTTTTTTGGTGTAGTGTACATTCTTTGAAATCTAGAATTTTTGATATCTTTCTTTTAGTATCTAGATTTGGTTGTAAGAGTGATCTTGAAAAAGATTCACTCATAAGGAAGAAGTTTTCGCACTCTTCTGTTTGTATTCTTGGAATACTGATTTTAATATATTTTTTCCGTCCTGTAAAGGACAAGTTCACAAGTCTTTACTTGTGAACATTTTTAATTATGAGCATTTTCTTTTAATAATTATATTTCCGCTGCATGTTGTCTCAAGTGTCATAACATTTTAGATAACATCTCTGTATAATACGAATTCGGGACCATAAATTCTTTCAATTGGCATCAAGAGCCAACACTTGACGTATACTAAGTGTTTGTTCCTATTTTCTTTACAGAAACGAATTCGTGATGGATACTCAGATGACTGCTTCTATGCGACCTCCTGTACTTGATGGCACGAACTACACCTACTGGAAAGTCAAGATGAGGGCGTACATCAAAGCCATTGATGAGAGAGCATGGAGATCTATTCTCACTGGATGGAAGCCACCAACTATCACAGATGTGGACGGAGATGTTTTTCCAACTCCAGAATTACGGTGGACACCAGACGATCTATCAAATGCTAACCAAAACTCAAAGGCGTTAAATGCAATTTTCAATTCAGTAGATTTAACAATGTTTAAATTAATCTCTGTATGCACTTCTGCAAAGGATGCTTGGGAAATTCTTCAGCTACATTGTGAGGGATCAGATAGTGTCAAAAGAACCAAGCTCAGATTACTCTCTTCCAAATTTGAGAGACTGAGAATGGAGGAAACTGAAACAATTTCTCAGTACAATGAGAAGCTGATTGACTTGGCTAATGAATTTCAATCCTTAGGTGGTCCTTTGAGCAACGAGACACTAGTGAATAAGGTATTGAGAACTCTTCCAGAAAGGTTCAGCATGACGGTTACTGCTATTGAGGAGGCTAAAGATACATCATCTCTACGGCTGGACGAATTAATAGGAAGTCTCAAGTCCAGAGAGATGAACTTCGAAGATCAAAGAAAGGAGAAAGGAAAGGCTATCTCAAATGCACTCCAGGCAGAATTAGAGAAGGAAGATGTTGCTCCGGAATATGATGATGATGCAGAAGAATGCCTCAATAATGTGGCATTTCAGATTCAGAAATTCAATAGGGCGTTCAGACGAAGTGGAATCAAGCCCAGGCAGTTATTCTCAGAAGGGTCTCCACAAAATCGACAAACTCAGCCCCGGAACAGATCTATTCCACAGAGAACATTTCCTCAAACACCTTCTCAAAACAATTTAAAAAATTCTTCTTTTATTCGTTCAAATTCTGAACCACCTAACTTGGATCATATTAAATGCAGGGCCTGTTCAGGATTTGGACATTATGCTAATGAATGTGCAAATACCTTGAGAAGGAGAGGAATGAGTTTGATTTGTGCTGTCAGTGATGAGGAGGAAGAACAACCTGAACAGACAGAGGAACATCAATCCTCTAAACAAGCTCTTTCTGTCAGATATCTTACTGGAAGTTCCACTGAAACAGAATCCCAAGGAGTCTCCCTGGATGCTGCAACACTCTCTGAAACACTTTCAATTTGTGAGTTAAATACTGATCAATATACATGTTTAAACTCTATTTCTGTGAATGCAGCAGAATCCAGTAATGAAGCAGTCAGTGATGATGAAGAAATGTGTAAAAAGCTGATCAGAAACTTGGAGAATAAGACTCAAGCTCTAGATGCAGCCAACAAGGAAAATTCCTCCCTCAAAGAAACAATCACACATTTGGAGGTTGGAATCACCAAGAAGGATCTTGAACTGGCAAAAGTGAAAGAAGAACTCAAAAAGGCAACTCTAGCAATCAAGAGGATGAACACTGGCACAACTAAGCTCGAAGAGATTGTGTCAATGGAAAAGCACTACAAACATGAAGGGCTAGGGTTCAAAAAACAAATGAAGCCAGTTAAGAAGAAAGAAATTGTCTTTGTAAAAGAGAAGGGTGCAAACAGAAAGGATTGCAGGAAGTCCACAGTCACCACTCCAGATTCCAGAATAAGAGGTTATGTTTGTCATTACTGTTTCTCACCAGGACACATTCGTCCATTTTGTGAAAAACTCAGCAGTGACAAAATGTTGCATAAAATAAGCCACAACACTTCAAGGAACACTTCAAAGAAAAAGGTAGAATCTACCAAAAAGGAGTGTCAAATATGGACTCCCAAAGGTAAATTTTTGTGCAAAGCAGTATACACCTCTTTAAATGCTAACATTTCAGGTTCATGGTACTTTGATAGTGGATGCTCTAGGCACATGACTGGAACAAAGGAATTTCTATCAAACTACCACACACTTAATGGAGGACGTGTAACCTATGGAGGAGGAGCTAAAGGCAAAGTGGTTGGACGTGGAACACTCAGTATTGAGGGGCTTCCAAAACTCTCAAATGTTTTACATGTTGAAGGATTGGGGTCAAATCTCATTAGTATCAGTCAATTGTGTGATGATGATCTACGTGTAGAATTTGATAAATACTGTTGTTCTGTGTTTGATAATCAAAATCATTGTGTACTTACAGGTTCCAGATCAATGGATAATTGCTATCAAACAGGTGACACCATCTCATGCAAGAGTTCAAGAGTAAGTGAAGTAGAGCTGTGGCACCAGAAACTAGGACATACAAACTTCAAGAATCTGAAGCTGCTCAACAAGTACAATGCCATAAGAGGAGTACCAGATCTCAAGATCAAGGATATTCCTATATGTGGAATGTGCCAGAAGGGAAAGCAAACCAGAGAACCACACAAAGTGTTGCAACACGTTGGTACCACTATTTGTTTTGAACTTGTACATATGGATCTTATGGGTCCTATAGAGGTAGAAAGTCTAGGTGGTAAAAAATATGTCTTTGTATGTGTTGATGATTTTTCAAGATATACTTGGGTGTATTTTTTGAGAGAAAAATCAGACACCTTTGAAGTATTCAAAAATTTGTACAAGTTTGTTAGAACTCAATTTCAAGTTTCTGTTCGTAGGATAAGATCTGATCATGGAAAAGAATTTGAGAATGCTTTATATTTTGCTTTTTGTAATAAAAAGGGAATAAAGCATGAATTTTCTGCTCCAAAAACTCCTCAGCAAAATGGCATTGCTGAAAGAAAAAACAGAACTATTCAGGAAATGGCTAGGGTGATGATGAGTGCAAAAAATTTGTCTAAAAGGTTTTGGGCTGAGGCTGTCAACACAGCCTGTCACATCTCAAACCGTGTGTATCTAAGATTAGGATCTATGATGACTTCATATGAAATTCTTTATGGTAAGAAACCTAATCTAGAATACATGCATGTGTTTGGGTGTGTCTGCTATGTTCTAAATGATAGAGATCATCTAGCTAAATTTGATTCAAAAAGTGATTTGAGCTTGTTTATGGGATACTCTAATAACAGTCATGCTTATAGAGTATACAATCTAAGAACTCGAACCATTATTGAATCTGTAAATGTGGTATTTGATGACTTTGCTGATCTCCGCAGTAAAACAGCTGAAGATGAAGTTGATGACTTGATTGCTGAAAGGGAAACAACAGAAGAAGACACTTCTGCCACAGAAAGCCCAGACACAAACAGTCCAGTCTTAAGAGAAGAAGGTGCTGAGCCAAGTGTCACCACATCTGACTCAACACATCCTACAGAGACTGAGTTGCAACCAACCCTAGATGTCTGCAGAAAGGAACCATCAAGCAGAATCCAGAAAAATCACCCATCAACTCAAGTAGTGGGTGATATCTTTGGTGGAATAAGAACCAGAAGAAAAGAGAGAGTGAACTACAGAGATATGGTAAGATTTGCTAATTTATCTTGTGAATGTGCACTAACTGGTACCACTTGTTTTGTGTCTTCAGTGGAACCCAGGAATATTGCAGAAGCTCTGAAGGATGAATTCTGGGTAAATGCAATGCATGAAGAGTTGAATCAATTCATCAGAAATGATGTGTGGTACTTAGTTCCCAGACCAAGCCATGTAAATGTGATAGGGACTAAGTGGATCTTCAAAAACAAAACTGATGAAAAAGGTACAGTTGTTAGAAATAAGGCTAGGTTAGTAGCACAAGGATACACTCAAATTGAGGGTATAGACTTTGATGAGACTTTTGTTCCAGTAGCTAGAATTGAATCTATTAGATTACTTCTTGCTATAGCCTGCTTTCTTAAAATCAAACTGTATCAGATGGATATCAAAAGTGCATTTCTGAATGGGGTTTTAAATGAGGAAGCATATGTTGAACAGCCAAAGGGTTTTGAAGATTCTGCCAAGCCTAATCATGTTTTCAAGCTTAAGAAAGCACTGTATGGTCTTAAACAAGCTCCTAGAGCATGGTATCAAAGACTCACTGACTTCTTACTTGAAATACAGTTCAATAGAGGGGAGGCAGACAGAACCCTATTTGTTAGAAGAACTAATAATCATATCATTATTGTTCAGATATATGTTGATGACATTGTTTTTGGCTCTACTTGTGCTAACCTTTTACAGTCTTTTGTAGATTCAATGTCTCACACTTTTGAAATGAGTATGGTAGGGGAGTTGAATTACTTCTTAGGACTCCAAATCAAACAGACAGGTGAAGGAATGTTTGTGAATCAGAAGAAGTATGCTCTCAACCTGGTCAAAAGGTTTGAGTTGGAATCAGCCAAGCACATGAAAACTCCAATGGGTTCCAGCCAAAAACTGTCTAAGGATGATGTTGCAGAAGATGTCGACAGCACTCTCTACAGAAGCATGATTGGAAGCCTTCTGTATCTAACAGCAAGCAGGCCTGACATTATGTTTAGTGTTTGTGTGTGTGCCAGATATCAAGCAAATCCCAAGGTCACCCATCTTAAAGCTGTGAAGAGGATTATTAGGTATGTTGCAGGTACAGTAGACTTAGGGATTCAGTTTTTCAAAGACACAAATACAAACTTGATAGGCTTTAGTGATTCTGATTGGGCTGGGGATATTAGTGACAGAAAAAGCACATCAGGTGCATGTTTCTTTTTGGGGAATAATCTAGTTTCTTGGTTTAGTAGAAAGCAAAACTGTGTATCTATTTCAACAGCTGAATCAGAATATGTAGCTGCTGGAGGGTGTTGTGGTCAACTAATTTGGATGAAACAAATGTTGGGAGATTATGGGTTAACCAGTGATACCCTGACCATATATTGTGATAATTCAAGTGCTATTGACATTTCAAAAAATCCCGTTCAACACTCACGAACTAAACACATAGATATTAAACATCATTTTATTCGTGATATAGTTGAGAAAAATATAGTGTGCTTAAAGTACATTCCTACAGAAGATCAGCTGGCTGACGTCTTTACAAAGGCATTAGATTATGAGAGGTTTTCAAAACTCAGAAAATCTCTCGGGATGTGTACTCAATAAACATGTCCTGAAACGTGTTGCAGCACCTCATCAAATATCTTAAGCTGCAACACAATTTACTGAAGCATTAGCTTCATTAAATAATGACTTCACTGTGATGTATTATTTTCTAAATCAGTAACTGGAAGTCTTTCACCTTGAAACGTGATCATGCTTCATGTAAACATTTAGACAAATAATTACACTCACATAAGTCAAACTCCTCTATTTTGATAGTCATATCTTAGTAACTGAGGAACCTTCAAACTGAACACTTGATCATGTTCCATGTGAATTGTTTGACTTGAAAATAAGAGTTTATATATATATATATATATTATTATAAAAAAAAAAAAAAAAAAAAAAAAAATATATATATATATATATATAATAATAAATATATAAATATACAGATATAATAGTATCTATGCCTGTCACCAAATTTTTCTCACTATTAATCATAAATGAATGTATTTTTCTATTATTTGTGAATATTTCTTGAGTGCTACGGTTTTATTGATTTTTCTCTTTTCATTTTAATTATCCCTATTTATATGGGTCATGGGTACATGGGTTAATTCCTTATTTTCCACTAAGTCCACTCCTTATTGTGCCATGTGTCATGTTTTTATTTTAAACTGCCAAGGAAATTTTATTCTCCTTAATCACACTCTCCCCAAGAAAAACGGACACCACTTCTTCACCTTCTCCACTTCAATTTTTTTTCTTTCTTCTTCAGCAAAAATTAGGGCTTATAAATTTCGTGCTTCTTCTCACAAAATTCACACTCAAAAATCAAAAGCACAAAGAAGCAATTTTACTTTATCTACTGTATCATGGCATCCCCACCTAGAAATCCTACTCCAGCCATCGATGGTGATGTCCACAACGATGCTACAGCACCTGTACCAGCAGACCCAAATCTGGCCATCATCGTTCATCCAATCAACTTTGAAGCTGTTCCTATCAGCTACATTGAGCCCGGCGACGAGCTGAACCCGATTGACCCAGACAACTTTGATTTTGTGGGTCCCTCTTCCACCGCCGGAAGATTTCCAACGCGCCGGTCAAAGCGCACGAACCCGTTTCCAGATCTGAACACTGCGGTGCCACAACGCCGAAGAGGAGAAAACTCTCCCCGGAGAGGAAGCAGAGGTGGAAGAAGAGGAAGCAGAGGTGGCCGCACTCCAGTCCAGTCAAACCCACGAAGAGGTCTTCATCTGGTAGATGAAGAAACTGATGACGAAGCAGGGGATCCTACCTTTGCTGCACCACAGGCTCCAGCCTTGTCCTCCAGCTCCTCTGAGTCTTCATCCAACAACTCACCTTCCCCAGCATCAACTCAGGGGGAGACGTCGCAGCCCAGCATGGCAACAGCAGCCTCTCAACATTCTGTTCCTGAAGGTGTTGCTGCACCTGTTTCAGAAGGTGTTGCTGCACCTGTTTCAGAAGGTGTTGCTGCACGTGGTTCAGAAGGTGTTGCTGCACCTGTCTCTGAAGGTGTTGCTGCACATGCTCCAGAAGATGCTGCTGCACCTACTGCTTCAGCAAATGTTCCTCAGAATGCTGCTGAGGATGCTGCCCCTTATCAGGATGAAGAAATGCCTGATTTCTCTGGAATGTCATCAGCAGAGCATGTAGACATTCCATTTGTCGATGCTCAGGAGTTCACCACTACAGAAGAAACTCCATCAGCACCTCAGGGAGATCCTCTGGAAACCCTGGCAGAAGCAGCAGCTCAAGCAGATACAATTCCTCCTCAGGCTGAAGAATCAGAGAAAAGTGAAGACAGTTGGGAGGAAGAAGGTGTTGCCCCACGTGCTGCATCACCTGAACCAGCATATGTCCCTGATGAGCTTGAAGATTCAGAAGATGATGATTCCTCAGAAGAAGAAGAACCAGACCTGGATGGGAAGAACTTGTCAACCCCTTTTGAGGTAACAAATGCCTTCAGTCCTAATTTCTATTTTGAGTCTGATTCACTGTTGAGTCCTCAAGTCATGAATTGTCATTTCATTGAGGAAAAGAAAATTTCTAAGGAAGAATTTGATAGGCATAGGATAACAGCTTTTCTTCACCAAAGAAAAATCCTTAACCTAGTTGAGATTGCCTGCTCTTATGATCCCTTGGTTGTGAAGGAGTTTTATGCCAACTTGCAAACCTCATTTTTAAAGAAAAACTCTCCAAATTTTGGTAAAGTGTTTGTGCGCAATGCCATCTATTCATTTTCTCCCAAAGTTATCAACTCTCATTTACAAACTCCTACTGTGATTGATGAGGATAATTATGGTGATTTTACTGAGATTTGCAAAGTTATTTCTGGAAACCGTTTAAGAAATTGGCCTGCACACCCAAGAAAATTTCAAGTCTCTCAACTCACTGCTTTCTACTCTGTCCTGTTTAGACTCACAGTGGCTAATTGGATTCCATCCAAAAATGTCTCTGTGGTAACTAAGCCTCATGCTGTACTCATGTACAAATTGGGGATGGGTTTACCAGTGGATTTTGGCAAACTGTTCTTTGATACTATTGGTCATCTTGCCCAGAAAATTTCACCCTCCACTCACCTCCCCTATCCTTCTCTCATCTATTCCATCTTACTCTCTCAAAACTTGGGCCAAGATGACTCAGAATATCTTCACACCCCACAAGGCATGATCACTGTGTCTCAAAATTTTCTGAGGGCTCCTCATGTTCAAGATCTTCCCTGGAATGGAGATGATTTTCTCTCAACTGAATCAGGTCAAAATAACATTGGTACTGAGGGTGTTGCACCTCATGTTGACAACACTTCTAACCTTCTTGTGTCTGTTCCTAGAGATCTTCTATTGCAGCAGCTTACTCATTCTCTAGCTCAGATCACCTATCATCAGTCCATGGTGGAGATGATTCAGAAGGCTCTTTCTGATCAAAAAGGGGGAGAAAAAGATCATGAAACTGAAGCAGGAACATCTCATCCTTTGGATGCTAGAGGCAGAGAGAATGAAGAGGAAGCAAAGAAAGAAGGGGAAGCTCAAGAAGAAAGCAGTGGATCTAGTGATGGAGGAGGAGCAGCAGCTGAAACTGAGGAGACCTTGGAGACTTTGGATATTTTACTTTAGATTGTTTTCATGAACAATATTTTTGCTTGTGTTTTGTTTATTTTCCCTCTGAACTTTTGTTTAGGACTGCACTTTGATTATTTCTTTTGTTGGACTATCTTGCTGAATTTGGTTTTAATTTATTGTTTCTATGTTTTTCAAATGGTATCAAATTCAGGGGGAGTTCAAGCAATATCTCAGGGGGAGTCTTTGACTAAGATTTAGTTTTGATCAGAAAGTTAAAAAGGGGGAGTTTGAAACACGTGAATTAATTTCACAATGTGTTTTTAACTTTTCTTAACTTCTAAACTAAATCTTAGTTAGTGGGCTTAGTAGGGTTAAGTAGTGCTTAGTGGATTTAATTATGGGATTTATCTTAACTTCCTAACTAACCCACTTACCCATTATCTTGAGTGCTCTTGTGGTTGGTTTTCTTGCAGATCATGGGCTGAAGAGTGGAAGCTTGGCAAGTCTATAAATACCAAACTCAAGACTCAAGATTATTACAGATTTCGAGAAAACAAAAATAGAGCTGAAGTTTTAATCTCGAGAATTTTAGTGTGTTTTCTAGGATCTGTTGTACGTACTATTTATAAGTACATTCTTTGAAATCTAGAATTTTTGATATCTTTCTTTTAGTATCTAGATTTGGTTGTAAGAGTGATCTTGAAAAAGATTCACTCATAAGGAAGAAGTTTTCGCACTCTTCTGTTTGTATTCTTGGAATACTGATTTTAATATATTTTTTCCGTCCTGTAAAGGACAAGTTCACAAGTCTTTACTTGTGAACATTTTTAATTCTGAGCATTGTCTTTTAATAATTATATTTCCGCTTCATTAATGAATGCTAGGTTATTTTGTCTCCTGCATTACAATAAATATAGTCTCAAGATAATCAATAGTTTCCCATAAGGAAAAATGAGTTTTTTAGTCCTATAAATTTGCTAGTAGGAAGTTTTAGTCCACTATCTTTCAAAATCATAATTTTAGTCCTGTAAGTTATAAAAGTTGGGAATTTTGGTCATGTGATTGATAAGTGTTCGTTTTGCACGATTTTTGCTTATCAAATCTTCGAGTTTTGGTCTTCGTTCGTCCGAGTGTCGGCTTTATTTGTATATATTATTGCGTTTCTTGTTTTATTTCTATTTTTAGGTTTTGTTAGATATTTTTTCCGATTCAAAACGATTTTGAAAGCGAAGCCAAGAATGAAGTCAAACAAGAGCAAAAAATTGCAATCAAGTGGATGGTGGCAGCGTTCGGTATTTTGCGCATCACTTCTTCATACGACCTCCGATTGAGCTGATTCAAGTGGATTTGGAAAACCAACTTCAAGGTCTACAACTTTTGTGAAATGAAAAATTGTCAAATTCGGGTTAAAAAAGGGTCAACAAAGAGTTTCAAGTTCAAACAGTCACCATATCGTGATATTACCATCCTGTATCGCGATATGGGGAGAAACGAAACAGAGAGCTTGCATTTTTGCCATATCGCGCGATATGCCATCCTGTATCGCGATATGGGGAGAAACAAAATAGAGAGCTTGTATTTTTGCCATATCGTGCGATACTATCACCCATATCGCGATATGGCCTCGGGATGTGTAATAAATATCTAAAAAGGCAAAGCTTCCTCAAGAAGCTTTGCCTTACTATAAATAGAAGAAGCCCTCATTCTTCTACCTCTTCTTCGACTTTCTTCGGTCTTCGACAGTTCTTCGCGGGAATCTTCAACGAGGGGTTCGACTTGGGTTTTTCTTACGCAATTTCATTACGTATTGTTCTTCATTTCTTGTGTAGATTCTTTTGACATTATGTTTGTTATGAACTAAGAACATTTTCTTCTAGGGCAATGAAATCTTGTATATATTGATTTTGATCGTTATGTTGCATGCTTTGACTCCTCCTGAGCTGTAATCCCGTGTGACTCATTTACGAAAATTCACAACAGCTAGCTAAAAATCTTATAATTTACGATTCAAATCTTACGATTTAATTCATTCATACCCATGTCGATTCAAATGTTAAAATAAATCTTAAATATCAACAAATCGATAAAATTTTATGATTTACGATTTAAGAAAACTTTAATTTATTATATTATTTATAATAAACTTGGGATAATTACAATTTTGGTCTCTATATTATATATCATTTTTAATTTTGGTCCTACGAAAATTCCATTCGGACTTGCACCTACGCTGCAGTACTTATTTCATTCCCTACTCCTTTTATCTACACCTATGCACTTATGCACCGTACATGTACATAATTTCGTTCCAAGTTATTCTACAAATTACATTCAAAATTTTATAGCATTTACTTATTTAAATTTCATAAAAAACAAATTCCGACACTACCCGGTTTAATATTCACCAAATAAGAGGCTTCACACGAGCATATTTTTTCCTTACTTCTCTTTGCAGCCAGCGCAGTAGTCTCAACACCATCCACGACAATAGTAGTGAACCCTCGTCTTCCACATGCTGAATTCCTAAAAACAAACAATCACATGTTTGATTGTTTGTTGATTAAAATACAAACAATTATGTATATAGCTATGTTAAAATGTTTGAATAAATTCCGTCAGTGGAATAAACTGCATATGGACAATTTTTTTGTCGACCACTGCCTTGCTTGAACATGAAGTATGAACCATTTTTCATTACCTATTCCTTCACTTTCAATCAATAATTGTAGGCACCAGGATGGGATAAAAATAATTAATCCCGATATTGGATTTTAGTGATTTTGTGAAGACTTGAAAAAATAATATTTTTTAGTAGAGAAAGTAATAAAATTAGTGTTTTGTGGATGGAAAAATTACTTCTCTTTTTGTTTTTTTTTGTCTTACTTACAATCGTCTCTAGCACTCCATATTTATTGTGAGGAGTACATTAATATTCTAATAAATTACAAGATGACTCTTAGACTAACAACTCTTCTAATTCTAATTTAATACATATGAAAATCAAAAGACAATTGTCTAGGTACATCTAGACAATGGTGCTTCAAATTCATATTTATTCTAACATTCAATCCCCCACTTATTCCAACATGAATGCCCATTTCTTCCGATATTGAATTGCCACTAATTCGAATAGTGAATTCACATTAAGTCCATAATTTATTCCAATTCGGTACGAACAATTGAAAAAACCGATGTTTTAAAATAATTTCAGATCCGATTTTCCTATTTTAAACAATTTTAAAGCTGGAAAAATTCTAAACAATATTTCAAAAATATTTTAAACTTACGAAAACTCCCAATTACATAATACAACAATCACTACTTTAATAAATCGAACATGCATAAAATCATAGCATATTAAAACGAACGCAATTAATTGCGCAACGAGCTCTGATACCACTGTTGGGTTTCGGGCTCGTGTACGCAGCGGAAAACAAAAATTATATGCGAATTAAACGAATTTAAAACACATAAACACATGCCCGATAATTTAAATCAATTAATTGCGTACCTTTGCGCTTCCGGCGAAATTAAAAACAACATACATGCTAAAATGTTTAACTGAATTTAAACCAATTAACATGCTCGCGTTTAAACCAACAAACATGCTCGCAACGATTAAAACGATTACACATAATCACATAAAACCATTCGAAAGCAAACATGAATATTTAGTTTAAACGTAAACGAATCGAAACATGAGATTCGTGTGTTTACCTCTTGAAGCGTGAGGTAGGAGCGCTAAGCAAGTCGAGATTGCTACGGAAACCAATCCTTACAATCCAGGGCAGCAGCGGTGCAGCGACAACAGCGGCGAGACGGCCACGGCGGCGCGTGTATCTCACGCGCGGTCTTCGGGTGACGCATGGGATCACGTGCGGCTTCGGCTCGTGTGTTGCTCCTTGGTTCATCGATCTTCGATCTTCCTCCTCTCGGATTTCACCTCCTATACTTCGATCTACTAAACACGTGGCACTAGACACGTAATAGTTAGAAAAACGGAAGAAAAAGAGAAGGAAAGAAACTACCAAAGCAATCGGCCAATGAACGGCCGATTCCGGCGAGGTTCCGGCGACGGCGCCGGTGATAGCCACGGGAGAGAGGCCGAGAGAGAGAGAGGTGAGCGGCTAGGGTTTTTATTAGGTCTTGTGTGTGTTTGCAAGGCCTATAAATCAAGTATTTATAGTCCCTTGCATAAAACCCTAACGGGCTTAAGTTGGACCGGGCCCAACAGCTTAAGCTCGTTAGTTCCTTTACTTGCTCGTCTCTCTCAATTCAATGATCGGAAAATTGCAACGATTACAATTTCGGAATCATTATAATATCCTCGTCATTACGAGTGCCAACTCTCAATTTCCAACTTTCCAAAAGTGGAAACCCTAGTTCAGTGCACTTTCTAAATTTGGGAACTTCTCGATTTAGAAAGTTCACTAATACGTTCGCCTATTCGTTTCCTTTTCTTATTCTCATTCATAATTCAAAATTACGAATGTTGGATCCAATCATATTGACTTCCAATCATGCAAAGATAAACTATTTTATCTCTGACCGTTTATTCAAAGATCTCATGTGCACGAGCAGTGTGACCCTCGATGGTTCAGGTGTAAGCTAGCCGTGGGCCCACAACCCTTTGTGGTCAAAACTCGTCCCTTAGAGTTACAATTAAGATGAAGCTCGTTTCACCTTAATCACCCAACGAATCAAGATTGGCGTCTAGCAACTACGCGTCATGATTCCCTAGATACAAATGAAGTGCCTGCAAGAACCTTCAGATATAGTTAACGTACAGACGGTCCCTTCGATACATATGTCACGATCGAACTAGAGGCATTGGTTCATCGAGAGCTCTTTATATGTTCAATGACGGTGCGATCGTTCCAAGTGTTGTAATCGTAACGTGCATGACTTAGAGAATCAAAATCTCTAATCATCACTTAGTCAGCTCTGGCCAGAGACTTAGAATGATTACAAACTTTCAGAACACACAGGACATCCAAGACTATTCTAGCGATCGAATCCCCGACTACAATGCACAGACCTCCCACTAGATTTCG